GTAGTGTAGACATACCCTGAGAGGGGACATGATAGCAGTTTTCAGGTATCTAAAAGGGTGTCATAAGGAGGAGGGAGAAAACTTGTTCATCTTAGCCTCTAAGGATAGAACGAGAAGCAATGGGCTTAAATTGCAGCAAGGGAGGTTTAGGTTGGACATTAGGAAAAAGTTCCTAACTGTCAGGGTGGTTAAACACTGGAATAAATTGCCTAGGGAGGTTGTGGAATCTCCATCTCTGGAGATATTTAAGAGTAGGTTAGAAAAATGTCTATCAGGGATGGTCTAGACAGTATTTGGTCCTGCCATGAGGGCGGGGGACTGGACTCCATGACCTCTTGAGGTCCCTTCTAGTCCTAGAATCTATGAATCTATTTCCTTACTGCATTGTAAGCTGGCTCTGTGGGACCCAGGCATGCAGAATCCATATTACCAATCCAGTTTTGGAGCATACACACCACATTGTAGACCTGGGTCTACACGGACCTTCTGACTCGGGTCCATGGCTTGAGTTGTGTCCACACTGCAAAATAACAGAGCTTGGACTCAAGTCACAGTGGACAGTTGGGCTCTGACCTGTCCCCCTAGCAGGATCCTAGGACCTGGATCCAGCCTCCTTGTTGACCCGAGTCAGACTGATTTATGTGTGGACAGAGAAGGGATGTGTGGGCTCAAACCTCAGTCAGAGCCCAGGTTTAGTGTGCAGTGCAGGAGTACCAAGGAAGGTAGGCAGAGAGATGAATGTGGTGGTGGAAGACATCTGTAAACAGCTTTTTCCCTAGTGCCCCCTGCAGCCAGCTCAGCCCTGTGGGATAGAAACTGCAACAGAATCTCTCTGCAGCCCCTAGGGTTCAAGCCAGCTGATGTCAAAGCTGCCCCAGAGTCTCTGCACGGCACAAGCTGTGTCACCCTTCCACAAGACTTCCCCCTGGCCCAGCACAAGGCAAAGCAGGGCAGAGGCTGTGAGAAGCAGATCCCAAGCCATGCTTGGCTCCACTGGGTTACAGGCAGATGCTGGGTCAGGGGACTGAGCATTGCTCTGTGCAGAGAGACAACAGCTTCCCGGCTTAAAGAGTGTTTGGGAAGTGACAGATTCAGTCCTGGCTTGGGGATCTCCCCGAGCTGGACTTTCCCAGAGGGGACTCATGCAGGGAAAGTGACCCCGCTTGTCCGGATCAACAGGAGAATAAACAGAATCGGGATAAATAAAGTATCCCAAGCAAAAAAGCACCTGACACCAGTTCAATCCCAACCTGCAACCCCCTGCTATTCCAGCCCTGGGCTTCCCCTCTGCTGATGCACTTCAATCTTGATCACATCCTCCCCTGTATTCCAGCCCTTAGCTCTCCTCCAACCAGCTCTGCTGAGCCATAGGTGCTGGAACTAGGGGTGCTGCTGCAGTTCTGGCCTTCCCTCAACACACCCAGCACCGACGATGCCCCTCAGCCCTGACATACAGCTCCCCGTTATTCCTGCCCTCAGTTCCACTTGCCCACATAGCTCTGCCAGTGCTCCTCAATCCTGACCCACAGCCCCCTGCTATCCCAGCCTTGGGCTCCCCCCCTACACACAGCTCAGCCAGTGTCCCTCAAACCCAACCCCAAAGCCTGCCCTTCCTCTCCACCCCGCTGCTACACCAGAAGTCTATGGTGAATCTTTAGGAGTAATATGACCTAAGTACTTAATTTGTTTGTGACCTTAGGCAAGTAGAAATAACAGAACCCCTATTGCCAAGTGACTTTGATGATGCCCCTTAGGGCAATTCCAAACCCATTTTCCGGAAGCAACAAATATGCTCAGAGTTGGCAATAATGACGATAAGCCAAGCCAACCAACCACATGCTCTCAGAGGCAGGCACTCCCCTGGCGTGGATCTCACAAGCTAAGCAGGTTCTGACATGTGCAGGATTTAGAAAGAAGGCATCAGAAAGCCTGCAGAGGCTTCAGAGAGTCGGGTAGGGCACTGCCTGTCACAGTCAGTGCTACCTTAGTGCCTCAGCTTGGTAGTAGGGGATGCTGTGCTGAAGGGAGCAGAGTGGGGTCCCAGTGGTTGGGCCTGTGTTGCAGAGAGTGGGATGGGGGCTCAGTAGGAGGCGCTCTCCCCTCAGTCAGTGCTGACCCCACTGCCCCAGCAGGCTGCTGTGCTGCAGCGAGTGCTGAGTTGCCTATCAGAAATAACCAACTCACTGGTCCCACATTGTCATGAAAGATCCCTCAGCACTTTCTCCTTCAGTTATTCCATTCTGTCCCCTCCCCTAAAATCCACCCGTGGCTGCATTAGGACACAGGCTCCCCATTCACTTCATGTTATTATCTACCTGCCCAATCACAGGGGTGGCTGCCTCTTACTCCAGGCATATGAACTCTGAATATTGCTGCTATGCAGCTATCTGCTGCCCCACCCCAGAGGTGGCTGCATTTCAGTGATCCCAGCTCATCTGTACCTGGAAAACACAGGCTGTTTACTGAACTGGGTCTCCGTTTCCCAAGCCCTTGTTCCCTGCCCAAGTGTTATGTGTGTTACCTGTGTCCCTGCCTACAACTGATCCACAGAAGCGCCAAGTCCATTACTGCCCTGTTCATTGTTAATGTTTAGAGCTGCAATTCAGGGTGGCTACTGAGGGTCATATGGTAAGAAGGTAAGATTCTGTGTAAACAGGAAATTAAGATGGTCTGACCAACCATTGCATCCTGGGTCTCTGTAATCTCTACAGTTACACACATCAGCTACGCAGCTTGACTCTTCACTTCTCCAAGCTCAGTAACTCATGCTTTTCTGCTCCCAAGGCCCCCAGTTCAATACTGGTGCCAGCCAAAATGATAGTCATCACATTAGCACTTGTGTTTAGAGGAGTTGTAGAGCATGATATATTTTTTGTTCTTTACTAGTAGAGTCAGGGGGTAGGGATAGCTCAGTGGTTTGAGCACTAGCCTGCTAAACCCAGGGTTGTGAGCTCAATCCTTGAGAGGGTCATTTAGGGATCTGGGGCAAAAATCTGTCTGGGGATTGGTCCTACTCTGAGCAGGGGGTTAGACTCAAATACCTCCTGAGATCCCTTCCAACCCTGATACTCTATGAGTATTGTGGATGGTCAGACCAGGTAGAGAATCAGGCTGGTAGATTTATAGGATGACTTACAACAACAGTTCTAAAGGTGTAGGACCAGGTACTCAGTGGGATAAACTGGCATAGCTTCACTTAAATCCATGGAATGTTGTCTGTTTACATCAGCTGAGCAGAGCATCTAAGGGAAAAGTGTATATCATACCTGCCAGCATGCCCACTGCTGATCCAACTGCAGCATATAAGCAGATGAGTGGTGATGCTACAAAGACAGCGAGCAGAAAAATGCCACCAGTCCAGGGATTGTCACAACCAAACACCTGACCGATTCCCACCAGAATGGATTTTAGCAACTGCAAAATCAATTACAAAAAAATGACATGCCAGAATTAATGACAGGGTTGCAACCACAGGGGATGTAGCATATTTTATTAGAGCTAGTTGGAAATCTGAGTAAATTTTCTGTTGGAAAATGCTGTTCTGCCAAAATGAAAATTTCCCCTAGGAATGTGTCAATTTCAATGAAATATCATTTTGGAAAACATTGGGAGTGGGTGGGGGGAACAAGTATTCTGATAAGATTGAAACTTTCCCTTTATTGGAATGGAATGTTTTAATTTTTGTTTTGAAATGACTTTTTGTTTTAAATTTTATTTTATGTTACATTATAAATGGATTTTTTTAAATGCCCTTTCATAAGGAATTTCAATGTTTTCTGGTTTTGTTCCAATTTTGGAAGCAATTCAGTGCTGTGGCACCGTAACAAAGAGGTTTGCCACACTGACCACGCTATACACCTGTTCTGTAGATAAATATTAGACATCAGTTTGCTTTGCCATCAGTTTGGCACCTTCCCTGGCACCAGCCAAACCCATTCCAGTTCCCTTATGTAGTTCTGTGCTCCATGTTTTGGGATTATGCAGTATTTAATACCCTTCTTTCCCAGAGACTATGTGCAATGGAGTGGCATGATTCTGCCTTTAGTGGACCTTACCAGTGGCACTTCGATTTCAGACCAGGTGATGTTGGGCACTGATGTTACAGGCTGAATGAGCGTCGTAGGGAAGAAGAGGTTGTAGTGTCCAGTGGCAGCCAAGTAAAGAGACATGGCAATATTGAAAGGCAAGGTGAGAACAGGAAGGTCCCATTTACTAAAGACTGAGCCTAAAGCACTGGAAAGAATGGGGCTGAAAAGAGAAGAACAACAAGATCTTTCAGACAGCACTAATAAATTTTACATACCAGTGAGGGTGGTGGTAAACATCTTCCCCTGAAACTGGCTGAACCCAAAAAGAGAACAACCTCTTCGTAAATTTATCTGTCCATCTCTTGTGATGGCATCTGTTACCTATGGGTTGTTTTCTGTGTCCTCCTTTTACCTTTAGGGTTTATAATGACTAGAGTGAACAGAAACAGCCTTCCCTGTCCTTATAAGTGACTGGTATTGCAGGTGGTCACTTATACCAATCAGCTCAGCCTCTAGCAGTAAGCAAAGCAGCAGAAAGTATGGTAGTTAGGCACAGATTCTTAAACATATTTAGGCATCTAACTCCCAATGGGATGCAGGTGCTTAAATACCTTCGAGAATCTGGCTCTTATCTCCAAATTAACTAGGTACAATGTCCATTCATTTTCTAAAAGCATACTGGGATGATCTTGCTTCTGCTGAAGTCAATGGGAGTTTTGTCATTGACTTTCATCAGGAATAGCATTCAACCCACAAATGTAAGCTTGTGCAAACAAAGAGAGATGGGCGTGAGCTGTAAAGTTCAGATCCAGAATTTGCCCCTACTTCTGGGTCATTTAGATGCATGGTTTGGGTGCGGCTAATGGCTGGATCCTCGCTCGGTTATATTTCATTAATATAAGAGCAAGAAGTCTAATGGTAATAATTTCAATGTCACCTACCCAACTATTCATTGTTGAACAATCCTCTCAAGAAATGAAGGGGATGACCATATTGTGAAGATCTGCAAAATCTACTGGATGTGGCATCTATGCACCACTCAGTCGAGAAATCCAGTGCAGCACCCAAGCTCTACTAAGGGCAGTCCTGAACCCCCAATACCTAGTGGAACCCCACAGAGGACATATGATCATATATTGAACATCTTCACAAGCTACTGTGAGTGGCGTCATATTTTGACATCTTAAGTGGGTAGAGCTTAGATTGTGGGTGGACCTAAGAAGAGTCTTATTGCCTGTCACGTTGACCTCCGAAGAAAGTGAACTGAAAAAGAGTGCAAACATGGCTGAAGTTTCAAAAAGTGAACAAGCATTAGCAGAAATTTTTAGCTTTATTTGCCCAGCTGTAAATACAGTTTTGTTTCAAGTTGTATTAGTTAAAAATATAAGTAAGCTACAGTAGATAACTCATGGGTCAGTAAAAGTAAAAAAGTCAAACTAAGAATAGAAAATATTTAGGATTGCACATTAAAAACAAAACAAAGAGCAACTTACCATGCCATGGATGTAACAACTATAGGCAGTAGAAGCCACCAATAATAGTCTCCTTTGTCAGAAAACACAGCTATGAGTAATCCCAATAAGGTCCCATTATAGCCATGGAGTCCTGTTTCTATGGCTGATCTGTGGGAGACAGATGAGTCTTTATGTTCACTTGAAAATGTATTAGAAGACCCAAATTACACTGTCCAGATAACAACATCCCTTCAAGCCCCCGTAAAAGTGTGTGAGCTGTAAGGTAATTTATGGAAGTTCTGTGTCTGAAGAAGTGGAAAGCAATGATCAATGTGGTGATTCTGACAGGTAAACAGCTGGGGCTTGTAGCAAAACCTTGATCTACCCAAGGCTAGCTTGTAATTGTCCATGTTTTGAGGCCTTTCTAACCGGGAATATCTACAGCAACAAAACCCAAGATCTACCTGTTTCCATAAAAATAAATTTAAAAATGCCAATGGAAACTGGTGGTAACTGGGTTCCCTAATGCAGTAGGAATTATAGTCCAGCTGGAATGTTCCAAGCTGAGGCTGTAAAAAGGAAACCAACAGCATAAACAGAAAAGAATAAATCAGATTTCTAAAGTTATTTCTATTTTTAGAATCAGTGGTGTGAAACAACAACGCAAATAACCATTTTTTTAAAAAAGTGTCATTTTTTTTACCAGATAGCTCTGCAGAGTTCAAATTGGAAATCAAAGAGTAGAAGTATTTGGCTCTGTGATTTGCATTTTAGTCCATATCTATTCTTTATTCCAGGTTCTTTGAGCTAAAGCTCTGCTGCTTGCAAAGCACTGTCAAAGAGTGTTAGTGCCAAAGTAATCATAGTTCAAATGTGAATTTGGTCAGCACCAAGAACAACCCCCAGAGATAAACATACCTGTCCTGACTCAGAATAAGTGCTGCTAACGTTGAGACAGATGTTCCTAAACAGCCTGTGAGTGCCCACCAGGGATTCTGGACCAGGAATCCAGCAATCATGAGAAACCCACTGAGTGGGTTATTGACACACATCACCTGGGACGTCCCCCGCAAGACCCAGTCAATAAACTGAAATGCTAGAGGTTTATCTGAAAGAGGAAAGATCATCAGAATGAAGAGGCAAAGGGATATTCTTATTTTATTTGTATCGCAGTAGCATAGATTCAGAAAGTTTAAGGCCAGAAGTGACCATTAGAGCAGTGGTTCTCAACCAGGACTACGTGTACCCCTGGGGGGTACACAGAGATCTTCCAGGGGGTACAGGATTTGCCTAGTTTTACAACAAGCTAGTGAAGTCAGTACAAACTAAAATTTCATACAGACAATGGCTTGTTTATACTGGTCTATATGCTATATGCTGAAATGTAAGTACAATATTTATATTCCAATTGATTAATTTTTATGATTACATGGTAAAAAGGAGAAAGGAAGCAATTTTCCAGTAATAGTGTGCTGGGACACTTTTATGTCTGATTTTGTAAGCAAGTCGTTTTTAAATGAGGTGAAACTTGGGGGTACGCAAGACAAATCAGACTCCTGAAAGGGGTACAGTAGTCTGGAAAGGTTGAGAACCAGTGCATTAGAGCATCTAGTCTGACATCCTTTCACAGGCCTTTAGATTTCATCCAGTTACCCCCCTGTACTGAGTTCAACAATGTGTTTCACTAAAGCATCTTCCAGAAAGATATCCAGTGTTGACTTAAAGACATCAAGAGATGGAGAGGCCGTCATTTCCCTTGGCAAGTTGTTCCAATGGCTGATCATCCTCACTGTTAAAAACCTGCATCTCATTGCTAATTTGAATTTGTCTGGCTTCTGCTTCCAGCTTTTGGTTCTTGTTTTGCCCTTCACTGTTAGTTGAAAGAGCCCTTATTAGCACAGTATTTTCTCCCTATGAAGGACACAGTCGGCAAGTCGTCTCTCATTCTTTTTTGATAAGCTGAACAGATGGCTCTCTTCAAGTCCCTCACTGAAAGGCATTTTCTCTGGCCCTCTTAGCATCTAGGCGTCGAGTCAGGATTGGGGCCACGCTATTCTAGGTGCTGTACACTAGAGTGACCAGATGTCCCGATTTTATAGGGACAGTCCTGATATTCAGAGCTTTGTCTTATATAGATGCCAATTACCCCCCACCCCCTGTCCCGATTTTTCACCCTTGCTCTCTGGTCACCCTACTGTACACACATCTACAGTTTAAATCTTCAGGGACAACAAAGCCAATGAAAAGACGATCCCTGCCCCCAAAGAGCTTACAAGCTATGTAAATGAGGCAAACAATCCTGGGATTCTGCTTTTCTCAAAATGCCCTAAGCAATTATTGTAGAACTGGGACAATGTATCAGCCAGACTGGAAAAGCTATCTCTGATTTATCACATTCTAGGACAACTGTTAGATCTGGCATGGGAAAAGCTAACTGCTTCAGAGTGTAGTTGGCAGAGTTCCCTATTATAAAGCACACTGGGATATACTTGTACAAACTGGCTTATTTTATGATGCCCACAAAGTTGCATAGCAGATGGTGGTGAGAATCTTACTCATTCATACTGGAATTTAGGTAAAGTTAAAACAAGTCTCTAGGAAAACATAATGAAAAAAGCAAAACCCTTTTGCAATGAAAGGAGGAAGGAAATGTATCAGGCCTGGTCTACACTACAGAACTAGGTCGACCAAAGGCAGCGTACGTTGACCTAACTCTGTAGGCATCTACACTAAAATGTAGCTGCCATCGATGTGGCTTGCCCACTACACTGACCTAATAACTCCACCTCCATGAGCGGCACAGAGCTTAAGTCGATGTAGTTAGGCTGATGCAGTGTCAGTGTAGACATTGCGTTGCTTACATCGGCTGTTGCTGCCTTTCAGAAACTGTTCCACAATGCCTCACACTGGCAGTTAAATCAGTGCAAGGGCTCCTGATGAGGATGGTGCACCGCTGCCACAAGGTGCGTAGCGTGGACATGTAAAACCAATTCAATTACTGCAGTGGCTGTACGTCGACGTAACTTAGGTCAACTGAATTTTGTAGTGTAGACTTGCCCTCAGATGCCAGAGGCATGTAAGACCCAATGAGCCAACCCAGGCATACGTGCAGTGACTGTCACAGATGCTCAGAAGCTATGTAAGAATCATGGAGGGTCTACCTCTCTGGGCTATGATATGGGAGGCTACCATGCTCAATTACCATGAGTGTGTGTGTGTGTGTGTGCAAATCAGTTACCTGCCTGCACAAATGGACAAGCCTGTGTTTTAAGGGGAGCAGTCACAGACAGGGCAACACCAACTAGGCATGCAGTTGCATGGGTGCTCTTGTGCACTTAAACTGCGTGCTTGATTGTTGGCAATTTGGGCCACTTAGGACCCCATAATACCATCTTTATTCAGGCTAAGGAGTATGAAAATGTGCAAGTCAAACTGCAGATGCTAACAGGACTACTTAACTTGAGCAAGCGCAGCAGGAAAGGACCTTAGTGTGGGTGTAGCACTAGATTGTGCCTCTGGCTAATGTGACTGTGCAGGGCTATAGGAAGGGGTAAAGAGTGTCCTCTCCCACGCCTTTCACAGCCCACGAGGGCTGCCCAAAGCGCATGGTGCTCCAGATGCTTCTCCTTGGGAGTAACTGGGCAGGGAGGGGCAGGGAGTAGGTGCAGCCACGACTTTGTCCCATAGACACACTGGCTGGTGGAGGTGGCTACCACTGAAGGCAGAAAAGGGTGTTGCAAGTTATTCCCCCCTGCAAGTCTCAATCCTAGAATGCAAAGACTGCTGGTGCTTCCCCTAGAGACTTGCACCAACATATCTCCCCTTATTAAGAGCATGCTACATGTATGATCAAGCCATGTTCGATGTAATATACACATTAATAGATATTATGTGGATGGTATTAATATAATATACATTACATATATGGGTATTGCAAGGTTACATTAATTAAATGCATTATGCTCTTCCCACAAATTCTGTTCACCCATGTCAAACATCCCACAGAACTTTGCAAAGCTGAAGTCAGCTTTGGCATTAGAAAATAGGAAACTTGTCAAAGTTAAGATTCATGAATACTTTGTACCAAGCACAGTTAGGGAGCCCTGTTATGGCTCATCAACACTTGGAATGTAGCATTCAAATGAGGGATGGGAAAGTATAGACAGGTACCAACCTGGCACAACATGTGGGTTAAACTTAAAGTTCAGTGATGTGTAAAGAGGTTGGTAACTTGTAAAGCCACACTAGAAATACTACTAGTGGAAATGCGTATCTTTGAAGCACACTTTCTGCATAAGGTGAACATGCTGCGAGAATTTGCTACCTGGCAGGAGGGTATGTATATCTCCTTTTCATATTGTACTGTTTTGTCTTTAGACAATAAATTTGGCACTTATTTGGTCTCTTGAGCATTTTTAAGAATGAACCACAAGTGTAGTCAAACAACTGGCCACACTGTTTAGTCAATAGTTGTGACTGGTAATTGCTTTACCTTTAGACCCACCTCCAGACATGTTTGTTCCTCCCCTGATATAGGAGACAGCTCTGCTGACGCGTTTCACACCTGTTGTCCCTCTGTTCTGATTTTTAGTGCTTTTCTCTTCAGTGATTTTGGTTTCAGGAGCCATGTTGCCCTTCAGATCCTTCTTCAGGAAAGGAGAGAATGTTATTACAGTTCTCAAATGGCAAGCTGTTTTGTTTTCAAAGCCACTGATAAGTTTTTTTGATTTATTTTAAAATATTATGATGGCAGGAGTCATCAGGGGGTGCTGACATATACCATCATGCAAGTTCTTTTTCTTAGTGTGTGAGCAAGTTTTGGCTTATGGGAAGACATGCTGTGTTAGTTTCAGGTTATGCAAGGTTAGGTTTATAGGCATCTTCAAGAGAGGGGGAGCTGTGTGAGCGGCAAGAGAGTTTGCTGTCTGTGACTGGAGTCAATCTTTGAGACAGAGTTGCTTGCTGGGGACCAGACATTGGTGCTGGGCTGAGATTCCTGGAGGAAGGGATTGCCCTACATGCTGTTTGACCATCTCATTTCAGGAATGGTGTGTATATTGCACTTTGGCTACGTTTACAATATGAGCTAGGGCAGTGGTCCCCAATGTGGTGCCCGCGGGCGCTATGTCGCCTGCCGGGGCATCTATGTGCGCCCACGTACTGGCTGGCGGACAAGCATCTGCCGAAATGCCACTGAAAAGCCGTGTCAAGAGGAGTCACCGCCGAAATGCCGCTGATTTTCGGTGGCATTTCGGCGGCGACGCCTCTTGACGTTGCCGCTTCTCAGCGGAATTTCGGCAGATGCTTGTCCGCCGGCCACGGTCCTCGGTGGCTCGTCGTTCGGCGCCCGCCACCTGGAAAAGGTTGGGGACCACTGAGCTAGGGGTATGATTCCCACCTTGTGCATGTAAATAGTAGCGTAGCCGTGGTAGCATGGGAAGCGTACCTCTGTAGTTCAGGCGGGTTTGTACTTGGCATGGCTAAGCTATTATTTATACTTATGCTAGCACAAGTATGTTTACGTGAGTTGGGCATCACACCCCTAGCTCATAGTGTAGACGTAGCCTTAGACTCTACTCAGACCCCATGCCACTGATTTCTGCTCCACTGGGAAGCTGGCCTGCAAGTCCCTGGACATCTGCTACCGCTTGGCAGAGGGATGACACTGATGTTCAAATGGGATCCCAAAGGGGAAAAGGCACCAATACAATGTAAAACTTTGAAATGACTGAGTATCAAAGCTCAGTGTAACTCAGGGCTTTGTGAAATTGAAAATAAATGTTTGCAGTTTCTTTTTAGATTTCATGCCCACATAATATATTTTTAACCAAAACCCCACAAATAATTCTGCACTAATTTTACTTGGCTTTAATAAGCAGAAAAGTGGTAACTCCAGTACTTACAGCTGATTCATTCTCCTGTTGGTGGTGTGGAGGGAAAAACTGATCCTCATTTTGTCTATCCAGATGTTCAAGTTTTCCAAAAACTGTAGGTACAGAAGAAATAGATTTGCTCACTGCACCTCAAATTCCTCCCTCTCATGGTAGATGTGCATAGACTGCACACGTTCCAAGTCACTCAGGATGGCTATGCATTGTTACTTGTTAAACCGCTGGTATATCACAATAGCATTTCAATTATAACTTTCCTTCAGGATGGTGGTTGTAAAATATTTCTCTTTCCAGGGAGGATAGCCGTGATCTTGAACTTTTCAATCACCTTTGCACCTAAATAGCAGAGAGTATCTCTAGGAGCATTTGCACCTTTAGAGCTGGTCAACATTCTTTCAGAAAGCTTTCAGTGTGGTTGAAACTTTCTAGTTTCTCAGTGAAAAAAACACAGAGCCAAAAAGTGAAAAAAAGCTTTGCTCTGGTTTCAGGAAAAAGTTTTGGTTTTTAAAAACTGAAAATATTTAGCAAAACCCATTTTTTTTTTCAGTTTTTGAACCCAGAAAACATCGGGGTGTTGGTTTAAAGGTTGCATCAAAAGATTGATTTTTTGGGGCGGAAAATTAAAAAGGAAATGATTTTAAAAACATTTCCTGTGAAAATCATTAGCGTTTTTTGACCAGCTCTATAAATCTGATCTGTATTTTAAGGGCTCCCCAGCTACCTCTTTCTGGACTTATAAAATGAGCTGATAGCAGCATTCTGGCTGTGCAAAGAATGTATGTTCAGCCTCCATAGCTGATATGGCTGATTTATTAACAGATGTCACCACAGTTAAGGGTTCTGTTCACATTAAACTGAAATCTTTCCTGCCTGCGTCTGGGGCACTATGCAAATGAAGATTAAAGATCTAGTGGTATATTCCGAAACAGTAGGTGTATCCTGGCTGACTCTCTCATGATATTTTCTGACATCCAAATCTGGGTGTGGTAGCTAGGCCCCTAAGAGCTCCCATGTTTATACGTTAACTGGACTTGGAGGCTGGAATTGGGGCTAGGGGGTTTCTTAAAGATGTTCTCTCCTCAATGCCCCATGTTAGGCCACATATTCAAAATGGCGGCCTATATTTTTGCGTTTGCATTTTCTGTCTGCAACTCGATTGTGGGCACAAATCTGAATACTTGTGCCTCTGCCTAGGGCTCTGAGTCAGGTGCTCATTGTAAAGGGACTGTTGTCCCCTTACTAACACTAAGTGGGGGTGTTTGGTTGGCTAGCTCCCAGTACCAAAAGAAAGGGGAAGGATCGATGGGAAATCAGGACCCTGAGACTGACAGTCCCCAGGAACAATGGGGAGAAGCCAATGCTCCAGGTCAGCCTGATTGACAGGGCAGACAGGCACATCAGGGAGTCAGGATGCCAGGGGGTCCTGTCCTCCCTGTGAGCTGGGATTGCCTGGGTCAGACAGAGTGGGGCCCAAGCTGGCCTGGGGAGCAGAGCCGTGCCAGCCAGAGGGGCCAGACAAGCAGCCCAGAAAGCAGGTCAGAGCTGGGAGCAGAGTCACAGAAGCAGCCCACAGAGCAGACCTGTGCTGGGAGCAGAGCTGCAGCAACCAGAGCTGAGGCTGGAGCAGTCAGGAGCCGGGTGCAGTGAGCAGCTGGGGAGAGCGAGGGGGGACCCTGGGCAGTGGGCCCAGTGCAGGGAGATGCCCCCAGCCAAGGGGCCCTGCAGGCCAGGTGTGGAGGGGGATCATAACCCCGATGGGGTGGGGACGACGCTGGGAAAAAGGGTCCTGCCACGTAGAACCTGAGGGCTTGTGGCCACCGCCAGAGCAAGTGTCCGACCCGCAGCATCCCTGCAGCACAGCCAGGGCCTGAGAAGGGGCCTGGGACTTGTGAGGAACAGACTGTGAACTTCCCTTACATCCAGAGACTCTGGTTGGGATGTCCCCATGCCACAGAGCAGGGTGCCGAGTTTTCCTTTAACCTTTCCCATTTTTTTCTTATTTTTTTTAAATTGGTTGCTGTTTAATAAATTGTATTTGCTTTGAACTGTATGTAATGATCAGTGGGTCAGGGAAGCATCCAGTGCAGAGAGAGCACCCCGGAGTGGGGACACCCCAGCCCGTGCCCTAAGTGACCACGACAAGGTCGAGCCCCCCAGGAATCCTGGGCCCAGCCTTGTTGGGGTTACAAGGACTCTGCCACACAGGAGAATGGAAGGGGAGCCCTCGAGGTCAGGCAGGCCTCTGGATAAAGGGAGTGGGAGCGAGGACTCAGATCCTTTTGCTAGCTCACTTCACTGGGGTACTGTATAAGCCAGGAAAGTTCCTCACAATAGCGGGACCATTCCCCCGCTTACATCATGTTTGCAGTTCATCTCAGCTGCACAAAATGAGTCTGCTAAGTTCATAAGCACAAATTTTGCCCACCAAAGAGGGAGGCCAGGCCTCATCCCTATGAAAAGCTACCCCATTACCTCTTTAAGTGAAGAAAGTGGATCTCAGTGCTATCACGGGAGTAGGAGCCCCATAAAAGTACCTGAGCTATGGGAATACCCATGCCATTGTAGCCATATCAGCAGGTGAGAGAATCAAAATGGGATTTCCCTTCTAGGTTGCAGACATCTCTCTGCACTAGGTTTGTCTCTGTAATTTAGTAGAGATGAATCATCTATCTGAGTTCCTCTCTCCAAAACCTCAGACGAAAAGCCACAGGTACTTGAGAATCTTGATGGCCCAAGGTAGCTAGTTCCCAGTGGGAACATCTTGGTGGGAGAAACTTCTACTTCCTCCTCACTGCACCTATACCCTTTCATATCAATCTATGAAAATCTCTCAGGGGTAAGACTACTATGGACCAATCCTGTCAATAGGATATGGTTTCAGAATTCCAGCTGCAGCAACATCGCTTGCAAGAGACTCCTATGAACTCCAAAGTTAGTAACAGCTGAGTAGGCTGTGGGTCCCCTGTTTAAACTCTTTCCTTTCGTCTAAATTGAAACAATCCTCCTTGTTTGTGATGGGACCTTTAATAGCAAATGAAGCCCACCCCCAAAATGAGGATACTTTTGTTATCCTGACAATTACAGAACATCAGAAAGCTGAGGAGGTGTAAGGTGGTAGGGCACATGAATTTGCGGAGCAATCTGGAAACACCTAATTTCGAAGGCATCTGGATGAGGACCAAGAGTTTCAAGCAACTAGTGGCATTAGATGCCGAACCTGAGACACAAGGTGAGTGATGTAAATATTATTATTATTTATTACCTCACCCACATTTTCCCTCTAATATCCTGGGACCAACACGGCGACAACACAACTTGATATGCTCAGAAAGTGTCTTCAACTGAGCACTCAATAATTCACCCAAATTTGTTATTCATCCTCCTGGTTACTATGGCTTCCTTCACTGTTAGACAGCCCAGGCTCCCACTTGCATAGAGAAGTGTTGTTTTAACAGAAGGTATGGGGAAGAGGTCTAGAAAAACTCAACTCCTTTTATGAACTCCCCTCAAAAATATGAAAATATCTGGGTGACGCTTGCAAAATCTCAAGCTCTGCTATCAGGGCTGCCCAGGATCATGTGAGAGAGGAAAGACAGGAAGAGATGGAGCACAACCTTTACTTCTCCTTCGCACGGGCCAGCGTGTAGACTGCTGATCGAATTGAAACAAGTTCCTCTGCTTTGGCTGGATATCTCCTTGGCACTCATCCGCTTCCAATTCAATTGAATGTTCCTCCATAACACCATCTGATGGGCAAGAAAAGAAAGCAACATGAGAAGGTAAATGTCTGCTGGGACTGTCTAATGCTGAGGGAAAGGCACAGAGGGAAAACTTAGCTACTTACAGAAAGTAGCATTTTAAAAAAGGGGAACAGAAGGTACAAGTGTAGGGAAACCCTTAGAGTGTGATGCAGTGAGAGGAAGCAAGCAAGAATAACATGCAACAAACAATCAGGCAGAAGAGAGGTGTGGTCTTGTGGTTGGAGTGGAGTTTCAGTCCTATCTCCTGCACTCAGTCCCTCATTGGCCTTGTGGGGAAGTCACTGACCTCCCTGACTCAGTTCTCATCTTCTGCAGAATGGGCGTCTGAGTCCCTCTCTCCTAGAGGCGTGACGTGGATTGACTAGTTAATGCTTGTCAAGTGCTTTGAGGATGAGAAGAGCCAGGTACAATTCTAATCAAGTTCAGTTCAATGATGCTTTGTTGGGATGACAAGCTGTGCAAGTGTGTCCAAAGTGCAAGGGAAAAGAGAGGCCCCTCAGGTGTCTTAGGGGCAGGTCTAGACCCGCCCAGCAGAGGGTTACTCTCCATAGACGTGTACACATACTCCAGGGGCTGGCTGTTATGTGTCCCCTGTGGCTGAACCAAGGGGTATATTTTCAAGGGTACAAGACTTTCAGTGGAAGTCAGGTGCCTAAGTGCCACTTAAGCCTTTGGAAACCTACCCTTGATTTTCAAAGCATCTCTGTCTGCAGCACTAAATTGAGATGATGCCTTCCCTGTGCTCCTGGGTGGAAGAACACAATTCCATTGTAATGCACCCCTCTGCCAATGTGACTGAGACTGGCTTTTCCCTCAGTCTTCAAGAGGATTCACCTCCCTTTCACCTATAGTTCGGCCTTTAGTCCAACTCACTTTGTCAGACTGTTGCCTTGTGCTCCTCTGCTCCCAACAGCTTCTTCATCACTTCCCCCATCATCCTGTGAAACCACAGCCAGTTGCCTCAGTAGCACGCAAACTTCCAGCTTTGGGTATTTTTCAAAGGTGGTGCAGTGTCACTGTTCCCTATTGTAGTTGTCCCTCTGTGCTGGCATCCCTAGATGGCCTGGGGCTATATCAGTTCACGTCTGAAGGAAGCACAAGCTCGTCCTGTTTTAGCAACTCCTGGGGCAAGAATCACCTTCTCTTTAGCTTCTGAACCCTGGAACTTCCTCCTTGTAGTTCTTTTCCACGTCAGCCCTCCATCGCCTTTCAAATCTCAGCTGAAGACTGGTTTCTTTCCTTCATTGCCTGGAGCTCTTAACTTCTCTCTTGGTTTGCTGGTGCTTTATTTTAAATGTTCACAGCTGCATTTTTCACCTTGGGCAAAGCACCTTGGAATACAAAGCTCTGCAAGAGACAGGGGCATTGCGTTGGTGGTGGGCGATTGTGGGGAGAGCTGGGGGAGCAATGGTAGCATGTGTTCATATATGAAGATGTTAATGACGGCTAATCAGCACATCATCCCAGAGATGTGCTCTTTATAGCAGATCATACACTTACCTCTCATCGTCGCCGAACAAACTCTACTAAAACAGGTGTTAGTTAAATTCTCCTACTCCTCTAATCAGGTAATTCCTCTCAGCGATTCTGGTGCTCTCCTTTGTCTTTAAGGCAATTATCTGGGATTCTCCTCTCAAGAGGCTTATTTGCTTTCCTCAGGCCTCTTTCCTCCTCAGTAGGCGCTTTCATTATTCTCTCTTCTTTTCACCTTTTAATGAGTGATTCTTGCACTGCTCTGGGTAGGAAGCTTTGTACGTGACAAACGATAACATTCTGTTTCTCTCCTCATTCTGAGTAACCTTTTAGTGTCATCGGCATACCGGGTATTCTGTGTGTGTGTATCTGAGTTCTAAATTGGGATCCCACTGCATACCTGGAGGCAAGGGAATTTGTCGAAATAGGCTGCATCCAAACACCATTGGCCATATCCAGCCTCGGTGAAATTCCATTGACTTTAAGGGGACTGGCATCCTTTCATCACAGGACTGAATTCTCCAGTTCTCAGGTGGCTTTGCTGATAATAGCCATCATGCTATATTCTACATGGATGCAACTTCCCTGGCAGGCCAGTGTTCTTACTGAACCAGCTAGCCTGCCATTGGACTGCGATCCAGAACATTTCAGGGCACAGGAGTCTTGGAAAGAATCACAAATGTTCTGCTGGGTTGGGGCCACAGAGAGGGAGATGCCACTGGTTTATTAAGTGAATCTCATACAGAGTTCACTAAGTGATGTTTGTGCTCTTCAGTGCTGCTATCAAATATGTGCCTTTCATACTGTACAGACCTAGCAGTGAAATTCTGGTCATTTTTGGTTTCTTGCATGCATAAGGGAATCTTGCAAGGTGCTGAGCTGAGAGCACTCTGAGCCTTTCAGGAGATGCAACATCCTGCTGTTAGAAAGCTCTCCTTTACTACACAATTTTCCAGTGCTGTAGATTTCAGTTTAAACACTGGAAACTAACAGCTTTCATAGACATGTAAATACATCTCTCAATTTAAGTGCTCTAACAATGCCCAAATCCTGTAAACCATCAATTTTCCTGACTGTTAAAGTGGGCTGCTGCCACCTCTATGTAACGTCTGGTGCATCTCTTACTTACTTGTCAATCTCTTTCTAACATTGTATGCAGTGTTGTTATAGTCGTGTTGGTCCCAGGATATTAGAGAAACAAGGAGGGTGAGGTAATGTCTTTTATTGGGCCAACGTCTGTTGGTGAGAGAGACAAGCTTTCAGGCTTACACAGAGCTCTTCTCTCACCAATAGAAGTTGGTCTAATAAAATATATTATCTCCCCTACCTAGTTTCTCTAATATCCTGCAACTAACCCAGCTACAATACTGCATTCTGCTCTCTGACAAACATGTGGATAATACTTGAGTCAAAAGGCCCTTAGCCAAGAGTTTGAAAGCCCTGGCTCCACAAATCACATGATAGAGGTGATTACTCCATGGACTTCAACAAGATGACACATATTTCTTTAAAGTTACTCATAGAATCATAGACTTTATAGTCAGAAGGGACCATTATGATCATCTAGTCTGACCTCCTGCACAATGCAGGCCACAGAATCTCACCCACCCACTCCTGTATCAAACCCGTGTCTGAGCCATTGAAGTCCTCAAATCATGGTTTACAGACTTCAAGGTGCAGAGAATCTTCCAGCAAGTGACCCGTGCCCCACGCTGCTTATAGCTTTGCAGAACTGGGGCTGAAATGACCAAATATGCTTTTTCCTTTTTTGGAGAAATGTTTCCCTGCTTGCAGCTCTATCTAGCCAGGATCTCATCAGAACTCAGCTGCTAGGCAGAGCTGTCAGGATTTGCAGGGGAGACGTCTATGCCAAACTCAGCTTTCTGCAGGACGTGGCTGTCACATTGTGTGGAGTGGTTCATGACCAGGAGCGCCAACCTCAGGGGCAGACTGTCAAGAAGCGGGACAGAGACCCCCAAGCTGGTTGTGTGTTCTGTAATTAGATTTCACCGGCCCACTAACAAGTGTGAACTCCTAAAGTACTATACCAGTCTGACCAGGGAGTCACAGACAGTCCCCTTGGCATTCCAATCTATTTTGCCACCCAGGCCAGGGGGACTTAGCGATAGTTGGATTCCATGCACCAAAGATCACAAAATATTCAGGTTGCTCCCAGTCCCAAGAGACCAGTCACTTATTCAGCATCAATTTGTACCTTAGTTCTCACACCAGCGGGTACGTCTACACTTACCGGAGGGTCCGGCGGCAGGCAATCGATGTTCTGGGATCGATTTATCGCGTCCGGTTTAGACGCGATAAATCAATCCCGGATCGATCCCGGAAGTGCTCGCCGTCGACACCGGTACTCCAGCTCGGCGAGCGGAGTACGCGGCATCGACGGGGGAGCCTGCCTGCCGCGTCTGGACCCGCGGTAAGTTCGGACTAAGGTACTTCGAATTCAGCTACGTTATTAACGTAGATGAATTTGCGTACCTTAGTCCGAAGTGGGGGCTTAGTGGGGACCAGGCCAGAGACAACTCTTGTAGCCAATCTAAGGTTTTATTAATCAAGAAAAGAGTCCAAACAGCAAAAGATGAAAACTTTTCTTGTCAACTACTTTTATTTCCTTCTTCCAGAATTCAAGAAAATGGGAAGAGCCCTTTTGCCTGTAGCCTCTTCATGTGCGAGGGGCAATTAATATTATTTGTATGGTGATATCCCACAATAGCCCATTTACTTTTGATAGGCCCTCTGGATGGACAGGAAACGATCCCTGCTGACTGGGTTCACAGTTTCACAGCAAAATTTTTACAGTTATGAAGCCAAACTTAAATATGACCTTACAGCATATGATAAAGTTATTATAAAGAAGATTAATGCCGGCAGCAACTTACAAGCATTTCAAAAAGTCTAAACACTAAACACATGGTTACCAGTCCAATACCCATCTGAATCATACTAACACACAGGTGAAACAGACTGGTTTCCTGCAATGAATTTGTCCGTGCTCGGCTAAGGCCTACAGCCGTGGCAAGAGCTGGCACCAGGTCTGCCAGCATCACAGTGGAACTCTGCCAGCTGAGTTGGTACTGAACCAGGTCAGTATTAGTGCTGTGCTGTGCTCACCTTGCAGGTGAGACATAAGCCAGACATCTGGACCTTTTACAAACATTAAAGAGCCCATGCAACTATCGCCATGTGAACCCTAGTGTGCAGGCTAAGTTTTCAGTTTGGGTAATTATGAGGGGATATCAGCTAGGGGGAATGTAATGTCAGTGGGAGGTATGTCAGGTTGTGTGTGCTCCAATATGTCTTAGATTTTCTTTGGCCAACTATGACAGAAGAGTTTTGATTAGCACTGTCAGAAACCTTCTGGGATTTTTCTTCTTTTGCCTCGTCTTCAAGGACATTTGGAGGTGTACGAGATCAGCTCATTCTCTGCTTCTTCATTTCACTTAAGCCCTATGTTCCTTCAGTTTTTAGGTGAAGCTTTATCTTGTAGGATCTGACTTTAGTCCAAGCCCGCTTGGGTCCATGTTTATGCTTGGCACAAAGCCTTTTTTAGTGAAGAGAGGGCAAAGCAGGTCCAAAATGCTGCCGTTCTGTTCTGGTAGCGTTCTGGACAAGAGCTGGGAGGGGAATGGTTTTCCTATCCTGTGAACATTTTCAAGATAATGCAAAATGTTCCATCATGAATCAAACCAAAAAGTGGAAATCTCAAAATTTCATGAACTGAAAATCCCCCCCCCCCCAATATTTTTGGTCATGTGAAACATTTTTTCATAATTTCAAAACATTTTAATTTTGACCATTTATTTAAAATATTTTTTTTTTACTACAGTCAATGTGCATTTTGAAATAAAGAGTCATTTTGAACCAGAACACTGGAATTTTTTACAATATTGCCACAAAACATTCTGATAGTTTCCGAACTTTATTTCTCAAAATTTTTGAGTTGAAAAATTTATCGAAACAGACCCCTTTTCTGCAACAAGTTTTGGTTTTGATGAATCGGCATTTTCCAACAAAAAATGTTGTGTTGAAAAATTCCAGACCAGTTCTCTTCTCCACTCATTTTGCACTCACGTAAATAATCCCCCTAAGGGACAGTGCAATAGAGAGCCATGCCCAGAGAATATCCCACAACTGGCACTAAGTCCAGTGCTTCATCTGGTTAAGTAGGTCAGCCAGCTGTGGGGACCAATCCAATGGGAATCTTTGACTTGGCTTTTGTTCATTACCTCTGCTGTCCTGATAGGACGGTAGAGAGAAAAGATATAACAGTAACTGCATTTGTCACAGTCTTCCTCCAAGTCCCCGTTCTTCCCTCTGCTGCTCCTTGCTGGATGTGTGGTACAACACAGGTAAGATGGATACATACTTTTGTGGGTTTTTTTGGTTGGGGATTGTTATTTTTCTGTTTGTATGATGGAGAAGATGGTGTTAATGGCCAACACAATTATCAGTAAGTCATTTCCCTAGTCTGATGACAGAGGGGAAATATGAATATCTTAACTGCAATGGAAAATAAGGAAAAGACAGCAGACTACAGAGAAAGATGATGAATTCAATAAGTATTTTAACAATTTATATTATGGATTTAATTATGGAATTTGGGGCTTAGACAAGATTCATGTGATGCCAAAAGAGTAAATCAGTCAGTCAGTCTTTCTGTTGCATTTACAAACAAACTTCCTCTTGATTTTAACCACAGCTCATTACAAGGTTCTTCTCACAGTATTATTGTTCTATTGTGGCAGCATCCAAAAATCCTAGTTGGGTTTGGGTCCTTATTGTGCTACCAGGCAAATGTAAAATAAAAGTTAACTCCTACAATATTATTACTATGAATAATAATAATTTGTTTCAAATTAGTATCATATACATCTGTAAGACACCCATTATGTTACCTGAATGCATTTTATGAGACTCAGATCAGGAACAAATCTTTCCTCCAAAATATGATATATATAACCTCAGCCCTCATAGCACAACACCTAGTTGTTGAAGACGTGAATTGCTGACGTGTGTGTGTGTTTGACAGATAGTACGGAAACTTCTAATTCACGTGCTTTTGAGATCAATATGTGCAGCTACATTGGGGATCACAAAGTGTATCCCATTTGTATTGGCTAATCACCAGTGGGTTTCTGCTCTCTTCCTTTCATTCTCAGGTAGTAGACTCGGTTGGCTTCTGGATAAGTGACTTTGCAGAGTGGCAGCTTGTAGATTGCGGAATTATTTGTAGTTAGGAGCAAAAAGAGAAGCGCAGAGAAGCAGAAAGGCCAGGTGCAGGCTGGTAATCCAATCTGGGTAGGGGAAAAAGAATGTGTTGACAGAATTTTATATCACATTTTTATTATTCCCTTTGCTTAACTCTCCAGCTTTTAGTCAGAAGCCTGAGAAGGATATACTTCCTCAAAGAACAGTTTTGACAATTATGGTGCACTTTGGGATTCCTCGTATCTCCTCCCCGATATTCCCCCCAAACAAACACACTCATATCCCTACCCCTTGCTGGCAGCACAGATAGCAATGCAAAGCCGGGCCAGGTTACAAGAAAAAAAGGGAGCAAGTTCCAGTGAGACTCTAAAAGCCTAAAATTAAATTGGTACAAAAATGTATCTGGCCAAGATTCCTCTAGGGTCCTTGTGGCTCTCCAACTGAATTCTTCTAAAAATGAGGACACTGGGTCCAACCATCCTTTTCCTGATGCATCCTTAATTCAGGTGTATGTAACAGAGGCATCCTATTTATGCAGGCCTTCTGCTCTAAACCACTCTAGATACAATACGTTAACAAAGAAATCAGATGGGTACATTTTAATATGTATATATGAAATTGCTGTCTTTAAACATTCATATATTTAAAGCTACCAAACCTATTGTCTTCAAACTTGGCTTTAGTTTTGATCCCCCAAGTAAGATCTAAAAACAAGCATAGTTTGATGGTTCTAGTTGCAGCTATTTTTGAGTCATATGGGTATACATTTTATATTTTTACCATATGAGAAAAGATATTTTTTCTCCACATTAACAATCCTCGAAAATGACTGCAACAAACTTTTTAAAAAAATGATTGGATTGAGACAAAGCAAGGAAAAATTGGGAACAAATAAAAAAAATATCAGCCTAAAGGAGTTTGTCTGGGTAGAATAAAAGTTGTATCTCATTCCAGAAATGGTTGTTGGAATCAACTCATATACACAAGTGCACACATAGAGGATAGTGTGGTTTGAAGTTCTCTGAACTCCTACTGTCAGCAGTAGAGTCTTTAATCTCACAATACACCAGACAGAATCTATACAATAAACCCTACTGGCTTGCAGAATTCTTACTCCAGTGCTGTCAGAACTGTTATTGTTGTAATACAGAAGTCTCTGTGTTCTGATATTATGACAAAGCCAAAATACATATAAACTTACCACAGATAAGATATTGGCAAGAGCTGCTCCAGCATAGGCACAAAATAATGCTGTGAAATGAACAAAGAGACTATGAAACAAGTTAAAAGTTGCTCAATGAAATTAGCATAGGTAGCAACTCTCTGCAACTACACTATAAAGTAGTTACTGCTTATTTACTGCTAGCTAGCATAAGGATTAGAATTAGAATTCTGGTGCAGGAGGGCTACTAAATAGGATCCCCAAATCCCATGTGCAGGTGGTTTATATTTGTTCCTGTGTGAAGTACGAAGTCGCTCTGACATTAAGGCTAGTTTGGCCTCATCTGCTCTATTTGCATGAATGGTAAGTGAGCATTTCACCTCAACAAGCACATTTGAAGGGGCATCTTTCAGAAAAATTCTGGTGGGGGTGGGCAAAGTTGTGTTTAGGACTTAATATGCAATTATATTATGCCCTGCAAAGTCTGATGATGCAAAAAGTGGCTGACATAATGGATCATATAGATCAGTGGTTCTCAACCAGGGGTACGTGTATCCCTGGGAGTACGCAGATGTCTTCCAGGGGGTACATTAACTCATCTAGATATTTTTCTAGTTTTACAAAGTCTACATAAAAAGCACTCGCAATGTCAGTACCAACTAAAATTTCATACAATGACTTGTTTATTCTGCTCTATACACTGAAAAGTAAGTACAATATTTATATTCCAATTAATTTATTTTATAATTATATGGTAAAAATGAGAAAGGAAGCCATTTTTCAGGAATAGTGTACTGTGACACTTTTGTATTTTTATGTCTGATTTTGTAAGCAAGTCGTTTTTAAGTGAGGTGACTTGGAGGTATGAAAGATAAATCAGACTCCTGTACTCTGGAAAGGTTTAGAGACACTGATATAGACTATGAAAAGTCCTGGGGGAGCAGGGAATTAAGTCGGTGTGGGGCAACTGGCCCACTGGCTCCATAGCAAGTGACACTCCTGGATATATGTAGTTTATGACGCTGACACACCTTTATTTGCTATGTACTGAATGCTTACATTTGCCATTTTGCTCTTGCACTTGCTGCAACTTGTAACAAAGGAGACACACACACTGTGCTCTCTCATGGAGAATTTACCTTTGTTCTTTCTCGCTTTTGTTTTCCTCAGTCTAAAACAAAAGTGTGGAAATGCACTTGTGTGCACAGATCAGTTGCTTGAACATCTGACTGTGGGTGCAATTATGCAGATTATGCCTGCAAATTCTCTGTTTCATGGGTGGATGCGAGCGCGCTTTTGCCATCACGGCCACAACCCTGACATTAAATCTGCAGAATTTCCACGGCTATTCTGCATGCTTTGGATTTCTGCTTTCCACATCCCATAGGATACATACCACAGGCAAGTGCCAGCAAGTGTGTCTGCCAGGTAAGAGCATAGAACATGCCTCCGATTGCAATGCAAGCAAGCACACAGTTGTAACTCGCCAAGCCGAAGTAGAGCCTGTCAAATGGCATTGCAATGGTCAGCGCTGTAAGGCAAAAGGCACAGTTTATGATATCTAGCTATTAGCCAAGTTTTAGACATCAGATATCATTCTTTACAAATTCCTTGGCATCAACACAGAATTATTTCCCCATTACATCTGCACTAAAAGATAACTGCGTTCTCAGTCACACCATTGCCAATATGGAGGAAATAGGCTGAAGTCAATGGCTATGCTTATTCCATATCTATGATGATGTAATAGAGCCCAGAATTTGGACCAGTCCTCAAGTTCTCACTCAGGCAAAACTCTTTCTAAGCTCAATGGGCATTCTGGCTCAATAAAATTAACCAGTCCCGGCACAGTAGTAGCCAAGGCAGCAGCGGGGAAGTAAGCAGGACCTCCTAGCCGATCTCCCATGGCCCCAAGCTGCCAGGGGTGCTGGGACCCAGTCAGTCTCCACCTATGCGGGCTTTCACCAGCAGGACAGCAACTCAGGGTCTTTTCCTGGGAGGCCTTACAAGAGCTCCTTGGAGTTTTCTCACTGGCCTCAGCACCACCAGCAAACAGGGCAGCACAACCTCTGGCGACCAGGCCACCCTGAGACATTATCAGCTCTGATAACTTGAATTTGGATGCTCATATCACCACTTGTTTGGACTAATCCATTTCCCACTGTGATGCCTCCATTCGCTTTCTTGTTTATGATTCCCCTTCTCCCACCCCTTCCTCTCCTCACCTTCCCCTGTAGGAAAACCTACTGAATCATTTGGATTAAATACTAGACCTGTGCAAAACGTAGCAACCATCCCAAACCAGATGAACTATGGAAAGAAAATGGCCTGAGTCTTCTCCAAAACACTTATGGGTCCAAAGCACAACACAAAACTTACTGCCGTCTCTGGATGGATACACATTTTCCAAGATGGGTGTTGTGGATTAGTCTTGGTTTCATAACATAACTAGTGACAACTGGTCCTAGAGCTACAGCAGGTCTCCTTGGTAGAACACAAAATCTTGCAAACCCATACACAATGAATAGAGCTTTGTGGAACTCTACTCTTTTGTTCCGAGTTTTGCCTTCGCCATATTGGGTTTGAATAAAACCCAAAATTCAGATCCAAGCTCAAGGATGTGACTACAAATCAAAACCATGTCCAGACCCATGCAAGCAGAAGCCACAAAGTGTTGGACAGAACTATGTAATAACTGGAGTCAGGGTACTGGTAAATGTAAGAAATTACAAAAATAACCTTGGTAAGTCATGGTCATTTGTTAGTACCTGCCAGCATCCCCACTGCTGATCCGATTGCAGCATGCAAGCAAATAAGTGGAGAGGAGATGAGTAAAGCAACCAGGAAGATGCCACCAGTCCAGGGATTATCACAGCCATACACCTGACCAATGCCGACTGGAATGGATTGTAGCAGCTGCAGCATTGGTTTGAAAAGGACACATTATTATAATCAAGGCAAAATGGCAATTATTTCACAGTGTCCATTTGTTAGAAAACAAGGGGCTCAAAGTGTCAAACTGTGGCATTACAACACAAACAGGAGACACTTTGCCCTAGAAAAGAGGATAAGGTGTTTCAGTCAGTACTAAGTAGCAGCTGCCCTTAGTAATTTTAAAAATAAAATAAAATAAAAATAGAATTTTCCAACTATTATATGATATCCTATTATGACATTTAATTAGTAGTAGTGCATACTATGCACTACTACTATTCACATGTTGTGAAGTAATGTACAAATAATAGAAAAATAGAAAAAATAAATAAAATTTGAAATGAAATTTTGGAATGATTCCCCCAAACAAGAATGTTCAAAAATGAATTTCTTCATTTTTAAATAGTTTTTAAAACTTGCCCACTCACTCCTGTAACAGACCCATAACCTCTGGCTGAGTTACTGAAGTCCTCAAATCATGGTTTAAAGACTGAAAGTTACAGAGAATCCACCATTTACTCTAGTTTAAACCTGCAAGTGACCCATGCCCCAGACTGCAGAGGAAGGGAAAAAACCTCCCAGAGTCTCTGCCAAACTGACTCAGGGGAAAATTCCTTCCTGACCCCAAATATCAGCTGCTGCTGGTGAAAGGTGTCCGACTGACAGTGTCTTTTCAACAACGGGACAAGCACAGTTGAAGTGCAAGTTTTCCCCAAGCTCTCCCCCCCCCAACTTGCCTTAGGACTGGTCATGTGAGGCCCACTTCTAAGTAGAGGGAGTAGTTCAAAGTCTGTGGTCAGTTTGAATCCTTAGTCTTTCCACTGAAACCACCAACATTGGGCATCATGCCATTTTGGTGGATTTTTTTGTGAAGTGGCTACTCCTCTGTTAAGAACTGGGCAGAGATGACCAATTCATTTTATGAGTTGTTGGATATTAGGAAAAACATTTTCACTAGGAGGGTGGTGAAGCACTGGAATGGGTTACCTAGGGAGGTGGTGGAATCTCCTTCCTTAGAGGTTTTTAAGGTCAGGCTTGACAAAGCCCTGGCTGGGATGATTTAGTTGGGGATTGGTCCTGCTTTGAGCAGGGGATTGGACTAGATGACTTCCTGAGGTCCCTTCCAACCCTGATATTCTATGATTCTATGCTCAGGAGGTTCAGATGCTATTAACCTGGGCTGTATTTTAGCCTGTTACCTAGAGGCAAGAGCCCTCCTATTTATCTTTTGCAAGGATGTGGACTATTTCTCCTTTCTTTAGTGGACCTTACCAGTGGCACTTCGATTTCAGACCAGGTGATATTGGGCACTGATGTTACAGGCTGAATGAGAGTGGTGGGGAAGAAGAGGTTGTAGTGTCCAGTGGCAGACAAGTAAAGAGACACGGCAATGTTGAAAGGCAGGGTGAAAACAGGAAGGTCCCATTTCCTGAAGACTGAACCTAAAGCACTGGAAAGAACTGGGCTGAAAAGAGAAGAATAAAAAGAAACAGTTTCAACTTGTTCATCTCAGCTGGAATGGTGAAAAATATCCCCACCATTTCAGTCCAAAGTCCCAGTGAAACTCAGAAAACTCCAATCTCCTTAGGAGACTCCAAACAGTGAATCGCTCACATCACTTTAACCTGCATGAGATAAGCACTCACAAAATGTGACCTAGCACCATCTTAAGGCATGATCCCCACATGAGCACCTGTAACCAATGAGAACTGATGTTGCTCAGCGCCACTTCAATCAGCCGCATTAATTTTTAAAGTATTATTTAAAGTCCAAGTTTCCTTCTTATAAAAAAGATTAATAAATTAGGTTTATTCCTGACATGCCAAGCGGTGGTGAGTGAGCCACAAAATATTAGGAGATCCATCACTAAGAAGCACCCAAAAGTTTGGATGCTTAATATAACTTTGTCCAAACCTCTTGGCTCAGGAAATTGGGCAACAGATCTCACAAAAACAGGATTTCTTGGGAGATTTCCAGACCTCCTGGTTTCCAGTCTAGATGAATATATCATACAAACAGTCTTTCTTGTGGCATATTGATAATTCATCTCCCAGTCCTGACTGGAATCAATAAATCTAAAAGAATGTGGAAAGTCTAGGTCAGTCAGATCCTCCACTGGTGGAAATTAGTTGTTTCTCTATTGGCTTCAGAGCTATGCCAATTTATACCAGCTGAGGGCCAAGCACGGTCAACTACTGCTCTCCGTTACACCTGTGCAAATGCATTGAAGTGAGCAGAGAGCTCAATGTAGCCCGTATTTAAAAAAATAGTTAACAGGTGAGTTTGGGTGTTAGAGGGATTTTCAGTTGGTGCTGATTTTAACCAAAAACATTTGGCATGTCTAATGCAATATCCTATGTCTCCTTTTGTGGCTATGATCAATAGAAAAGATGCACTGTATTATAATCCCTATTCAATCTCAGATCAAGCCGTTTCTCTTAAAAGGATTTCAGTTATCAGAGCAATGTTCAGAAGACTTCTTGGCGAGAACTAGTAGAAAAAAAGAGGTCAGCGCGTTCATGAAAATTGTGTTTCATTTTCTTTGTTGAAATGCCACATTTCTAATGTTTCTCCATAGCTCTATGACGGATTGAAAAGTAGGACCGCGTTTGCCCAGAAAGCGTTGCTCTTTTGTAAACGGAACTTCAAAATTTCGACAAAAATGTCGCTGAAATGTCAAATTTTAAAATCTTTCAAATAGCTCTGTGACAGATATAGCAACCCAGACGCTTTGGGGACCATTGCATTACATTTGTGAATGGCTTCTGTTCTGTGTGACTGTGTTCTACTCTATGGGGCGAGGGGAGGGTTACCACGGCTCCTCCAGAAACTAAACACAGTGGGGGAAGATTAAAGTGGGTCACTGAAACAGTAAACAGCTCCAGTGGCACAGGTGCCAGCTTCCTCTGGGCGTGCTCAACCCCACCGCTCAGCCCCAGACCCCACCCCCACCTGCCTACTTCCCCCAAGCCCCTACCCCTGCTCCGCCTCTTCCCCTCTTAACCCTTGGATGGGGAGGTGAGTAGGAAGGCAGCAGGGGCGATGAGGGGTGTGGTCAGCCCAGGGGATGCAGTGGGGGCCAGGGGTGATAAGGGGGGCGGTGAGTCCAGGGATGGAGCCCTGAGACTGGGGAATGGAGTCCGCCGCTGTTCAGGCAAAGCCCAGAGCCCGAGGCCCCACGGTCAGAGCCTGTGGCACACCGCTGCGCAGCCAGAGACTTCTGCCTGCCAACCCAGGGCTGAAGCTGGAAGTCTGAGCCCCACCATCCCTAGGAAGGTGGGGAACTCAGACCAGTTGTCTGCTCCTCTGGCGTTTATGGCTCCAGAGGAGGGGGTACTGCTTTGTACCCTCCCCGCCAAAGACTGCCCAGAAGGTTGTGTGGCCACAAGAAAAGCCCCCGGTGGCTGCATTTAAGAAACGCTACAACAGTCTACAAAATGTTCTGGGTTTCGAGAGATTGGTACAATGAGACCTTCATTTATGAAGTCTATAGAAATATAATATGGAATAATCTTGCATTGTAAGAGGAGCACAGGGCAACACAGATTTACATTTTATTAAGACAAGCCATTAAAAATGCAAATCTTGAATTAATTTTGATTAAAAACATTTATATTAAAATTGATTCTGTAACATTATTAAAAGCCACAATTAAAAGCTAAATTTAATTTTAAAGAATACATTGCTTGGAATCAAGTGTACTTACATGGGTTAATATTGTGGAGGATTAGTTAAAGACCTAAGAAAGGCAGGATCAAATTCAGTCCTGTGAAAATCCACTGGGTCAGATTTAGTGATGCAAGTGAGCATAGTTTTACTGGCGGGCATGATTATACCAACAGTGAATTTGGTCCACTGGCCTCATGCATTTGCACAGGTTGCAAGCTGGGGAAGCATTTTGCCCATTTGCTATAATCAATTGTATAGGTTAACTAAAAACCATTTAAATTTCATGCCAAAGGATGCCAAAGCTCACCACAAGCTATGCACATCCAGGAATGACTCCTAAAACAAACAAAAAAGTGCATTGCCTCTGAGGTGCAATGCAGAAGCTGTTTAACATCCCACAGCAAAATGTCACCACAGTTTAGGACAGAAAGTGGTGAATATCAGAACTGAAACGGTAGGGTGGGATGTAACAGAAAGAATCTGAAACTAAGTGCTTGAAGTGTTTGCAAAACTCCTGTTAGTATCAGTAAGTGTTCACTGAAAGCCATATAGGAAAAGAAGAACTAGAATTGCTTAGCCTGGTCTACAGAAAATAAAACCAGTATCACTTACCAAGCCATGGATGTAACAACAACTGGCAGTAGAAGCCACCAATAATAGTCTCCTTTGTCAGAGAACACCGCCATGAGCAGTCCCACCAGGACTCCATTGTAGCCGAACAGTCCCGCTGCTATGGCCGATCTGTGGGAGAAAGACAATTGACTTGAAATGGTTACTAGAAAGCAATTGGCCCTGAAGGCCCAGTACGCACTAGAGCCGCAGCCCAGTGAATCACTCTTTCTTGCACTGAAATGCAGTTTCCAGAAGTCCTACATCTAGCAAAGTGACAATATTGAGCTGGTGAACAATGTGACCACTCACACAAGTAAGTAACTGGGGTTAGCACAATTGGTGCCATAGCAATGGTGTTGCTTGGTACCCCATGTTTAGAGGGCAGCTGAAAGTTCGTGGGGTACCCAGCACATTTCTAATAACCCACGGATGCTGCACTGCAACAGCAACAGAAAATCTGAACATAAAAGAAATCTGTTCTAGATTGCACATAACCAAAAAGCTACCCCTCCTTGCTCACTAAACTACTTGAGGCCCAAAACAACAGTCATGTTCCTCATTGATTATTTTACCTGAACATTTGGGCCACAATTCTTCCCTCATGTAACTGCAACCAAAACCCGTGGAGAGGAAGGCTGGTCCAGTTGCTCAGGTGCTGGCCCGAGACTGGAGAGACCCAAGTTTTATCCTGTTTTACCCCAAACTTCCTGTATGAGCTCAGGCAAATCACTTAGTATCTCTGTGCCTCAGTTCCCTTTCTGTAAAAATGGACATGATGGCACTGCCCTACCTCAGCCAGGTGTTGTGAGCTTAAATACATTAAACACTGTGAGGTGCTCAGGTACTATAGTTGAGGGTAGCATTGGATCTCCAAGATAAAATGCCCAGAACAGCTCAAATAACACGTCCATCCACTAGCTCTCAAACTGCTTTTATATACTTAGCCTCACAACCTTATCATGCAAAAAGAACAGGAGTACTTGTGGCACCTTAACAAATGTATTTGAGCATAAGCTTTCGTGGGCTACAGCCCACTTCTTCGGATGCTATGTAGCCCACGAAAGCTTATGCTCAAATAAATTTGTTAGTCTCTAAGGGCTTGTCTATACTTACCGCGCTGGTTCGGCGGCAGGCAATCGAACTTCTGGGTTCAATTTATCGCGTCTTGTCTGGACGCGATAAATCGAACCCAGAAGTGCTCGCCGTCGACTCCGGTAATCCTGCTCGGCGCGAGGAATATGCGGAGTCGACGGGGGAGCCTGCCTGCCGCGTCTGGACCGCGGTAAGTTCGAACTAAGGTACGTCGACTTCAGCTACGTTATTCACGTAGCTGAAGTTGCGTACCTTAGTTCAAATTGGGGGGTTAGTGTAGACCAGGCCTAAGGTGCCACAAGTACTCCTGTTCTTTTTGCGGATACAGACTAACATGGCTGCAACTCTGAAACCTTATCATGATGTCTGTTATTATCTCCATTTACCAGACAAGGGAATGGAGATGCAAAGGGTAAGTGATTTGCTACGTAGCAAGACAGTGACAGAGCCCAGATTAGAACCTGAGGTGTTTATAGTGCTTTTAGTGTACTAGACTGTACCTCTCCTGGATTAGAGATTATAGGCCATTCAGTGCAATAACCGTGGTTTATGTAATGCGAGCTAAAGCTTGAACTCACTGTTCAGCATCACCAAAGAACGGATCTGCTCAAACACGGGCCTTAGACACCACTAATGGGTAGCACAATATTTTAAAGTTCAGTTGCCAATTTATTTAAAAATTCCAAATGCAAAAGCCAAACCTACCTGTCCTGGCTCAGAATAAATGCCGTTAACGTCGAGACAACTGTTCCTGAACAGCCTGTGAGCGTCCACCAAGGATTCTGGATCAACAGTCCGGCTAGAATAAGTAGCCCACTGAGTGGGTTGTTGACAAACATCACCTGGGATATTCCCCGCAGGACCCAGTCAATAAACTGAACAACTAGAGGTTTATCTGAAAGAGATCAAATACAAATTCTGGGAATAAGACATCATTCCAGCATGGCTTTCTTGAAACACACTTAGCTTTGCAGAGTCTGCCTCCATTCTGTTGCCAGCAATGTATCAACAAGACTGTAAAACTCGTCTTTGATTTATTGGTGCCTGGACATATTTTGCATCTGGCACATGAAAAGCTAACTGAGATGTATTGCAGTTGGTAAAGTTCACCACTATCAAGCACTTGGCCAGATTACTAAAGAAGAGTTTATGAAAGTCACAACTAGTCTTTCTTGCAGGGCAGCCAGCATAAGGATTCAACTATACATTTAATGAGAAAACTAAACCACTTCTGTGTGTAACTCTGTTGCCAAATGGGTTTTAGGCAAGGCTGAAAACAGTGCGTAGATGGACGAGGAAACGTTAGTAGGGAACAACCCTTTTTCCATAGAAAAAATGCAGACACAGAATGCTGAGGCGCGGGTTTCATAAGACATAAAACAGATTGTTAAAGGTATTTAGGCACCTAAAGAACAGATGCCTAGCGGGAGTTTCCAGGAGTGTCTAAGCATCGACCTCCCATTGAAATCAATGGAAGTTAGGCACCTAGATACTGCTGAAAACCCCACTATCCCATAACATGTCATTAGGTGCCTAAATATTATTAAAAATTTGCCCCTTCATGGCAAGACATATTATGTACATCAGCACAAGCAGTACTGAACTAAATCTTTATTGCTGACACTTCTGTCCAATTACAAGTTGGCCCACACAATCCTTTAGTTCCACATTTTCAGAAAAAGAAGCCCGAGCCAAACACAATAATATTTACACTGCTCTGCACAAGTGTGCAAGGAGCTCACAGAAAATGCCAACTCATTGCTTATGCAACTGCAGTGACTATTGTACGAAGAGGGTGAGATTAGTTAATTTATCTTACCCCTTTATCTAAAACCAAACCATTGAAAAAATGCCACAAAGCCGTTCATGCTTCTAATATATGCAACTTCATATTCCTATTAATACTACCCTTGATGTCTGCTTCTGTCCTCCATGGCATTCTATACCCACTGGCTGTGTTTTGTCCCTATATGGATGGTAAGCTACTTGAGAAAGGAACAGCTTTTTATTTTACGTTTGTGTAACCCACACACCTTCTGGGTGTGGTGTTCTGTCCCAGCTAGTGGCAGAGAGAGAGAGAGAGAGAGAGAGAGACTGCTTAACAGCCAGTTATCTTTTAGCTCATGCTGTAGAGGCTCATGCACTAAGCTCCAGAGGTCCCCAGTTCGATCCAGGCCACCGGTGACCAGGGTCTGTTGGCATTACATTTGCACAGCACTCATCACAATTATTATTGTTTGTTAATAACTGGTATTGCAGTAGAACCTAGCAGCTCCCAGTTCGGAATCAGGGCCCCATTGTTCTAGGTGCTGTAGCCGCTCGTTAACATGAAAAGACAGTCCCTGTTCCAAAGAGCTTACAATCTAAATGGTTCCCCAATCCTGATGAGTGCGTCTTATAATACAAATAATAGTAATAACACATGGCTGTTTAGGTGTCTACATGGCCTTTTGCATGTGCAAATGCCCAATTTGTGTGGGCAGTCATGGTAACGGCAAGATGACACATTAAACTTTCCTTTCTGAAAATTAAATGGCTTAGCCAAAAAAAATGTACACCCGAAACTCTGGACATGCTAGTTTTTGCATATGCAAACAGCCTCCAAGTACACAAATCAGGGAGTTAGATGGATTAATGCCCAATATATGCACCCAGAAAATGTTAACATTGCTGTTGGTGTAATGAGCTACTTGTTATTTATTACCCATGGTGCTTTTCAGATAATCAAAGGCTTTACCTTTCAGCCAGTCTCCACACTCTTTCATTTCTCCTGTTAGATATCCAAGTGTTTTGCAGATTCTCCTTTTGCCACTTCCCACTGGTCTCTGGTCTCTTGTGCTCTTTTCATTGTACATCTTCCTTTCTCCGTTATTATCGGTTCTAACAACCTCACTGTCTTCCATATCTTAAGGAATCAATAAAGGGAACAATGGATCACAACTCTCAAACTGTTCTCGGATGTTATTTGCTTTCAATCTCCTAACTTGTGCACCAGCAAATTTCTTCTGTACTTAGGGAAAGACTGTGATACTCTTTTTCATAATGAGTAGTGACTTACCCCTTAAGAAACCCCACTGATGTCAATGAGACCACTGGTGGAGTAAGGTGCTACCCAACATGAATATGGGTGTGGCAATCTTGCCCTTAAAGAAGGGAAGGGACAGATTGGCTGGATGAATTCATGTTCCTTGGTAGATGGGCATATATATCACTTACTGTGATGACTGGACCTTAAAGAGTTGGGAGATTTGGTCCAGAACAAGCCCTTGAGATATTTAAATGTGATGAAATTTTGAGTTCCTTTTGCTCCACTTCCCCCTTGCTAATGCAACCTGTTTCCCAACTCTGCTTCCACCTTTGCACCCCAAGTCAATCCTTTCCTTCCCTTCACCCTCAGTTCTCTCCACTTATCATTGGTAATGCTTTTCAGTAAGTTCTCAGGCACGGCAATGCCTCTGCTTGTGTAACCCACTGATAGGGGTGTGTTACAGGCCCCCTTCTGTGTGTGATCCACAGAGATTTAGAGTCTGTTCCAGCCCCAGCTAAAGATCTTTAGCTCAATCTGTAGCAGCTCCTGCATTTAGCTCTGGAAGTCCCCAGTATATCACCTAACGTGGTGGCTGTCACACTAGTTTAAATGCTCACGTTTAGAATGTTCCATGGTTTATTCCCTTTTGAGAGAGGAGCTCCAGAATGTGGTGACTCCCTTCCCAGGCAGCTGGCTCATTAGAAGTGGCCACACCTGATGAGCTCCAGAGAGGGATTTCAGCAAGATATAAAGGCTTGCTGCAGGTTGGTAAGAGAGGAAATATATCACAATGAATTATGAAGCTAGCTCTTGTTTCCAAACTTCTTTATCCATCCTTAAACTCATGCCCCAGGACTCCAAGAGAAGAACTTAAATGTTTAACTGTTAAAGGCAGAACATTGTTAAAGTTAACGGAGCCAATTCCTTCTGAGTTTTTGAAGAGTTTGAAGTGGGAATCCCTTCCCCTGGTTCTCAAGGCTCAAACGTAAACATTTGCTGTGGACGGAAA